GCCGTTTGTTTTAAAACAGCCGGTCGTTGACGCGCCGCTGGACGGCGATTCGTTATTCCGACGTTGGCCGCCCGCCGCGGGAAAAACGATCGCCTCCCGTCTCTCTTTCGACCCGTTCCCTTTGATTCCGGTTCGAACGATCTACGCACCGAGAAACGGTAGATCTCCTTTCGATATCATGTTTTGGAGCGAGTCCGGAAGCCGATGTCTGAGAAGGATACACGGGAATCGTATTTCCAATTGGTTGTATAACTACGACACTCTGTCCAGTCGAGGATCTTTTTTTTCTGTGGGAACGGGATGGAAATGTGGACTCGTGTTGGCGTGGATATGTTAGTAAATTGATTGTAAGAATTATTTGTAATTATTTGTTCTTCGGTAATGAATCATTTTTTATGTAAATAATTCTTTGATTCTTAATTCATCGAGTTTTACATGTAGTTGGTTTGTAATGACAATATTAATGTCTTTTTGCAAGATAGATCATGTAGAACTGATAGCTATTGTCTCAAAGATTATACTTTTGATAGAAGGTAGAAAGCTTGGCTTTGATCACATTAACATATACAACAGCCATCTTTGACATTAACGAATCCTTACAATTTATAGAAGTACTTAGTTTCTTAATCGGTAGAGTCTATGTAATTATTATAATTTCAAATCGAAATTGTAACACAATTCCACTAGGGTAAGGTTTCCGTAAACTATCCGAAAAATGAACAGCCCTCGGTGTTAACAGAGCGCGTCGTTAAATCATGTTACGACCCGCCAACAATGAGTCGTTCGACAATGGTCACCCCCGGACAATGGTATATAGGAAAAAAGCGATTGAACCTGCAGCTACAAGCAGAAGGGTTTCCTTAAACAGGCGCCGCTCATGTCACCCCGCCTTGAAATTATTACGATTATATCTGCCGTAAAACCCCATTGCCGGTCCACATGGCTGCGCTCACTCGTTGATATTTGGCCCTCATTGTTCCTCCCCCACGTTCCACCGTGAAAAGGCCATTAAGCCGCGCGATTTTTAAAATTGACCCGACCGGTCGGCCTCGTTCACCCTCGCCGCATTAATTTCGATTTTAAACGGGACCGAGTAAAACTGAGATCAAGCCCATCGATGCTGGGACCAATCTACGCGAATCCTGTTACCGATAATATCGTTTGTGTTCATTATTTTTATTACAGGTTATCGCGATCGTCGTTCACGTTCAATTTTCCATTCCCGAATTATGTGAGCCACGATTATCGATGTATCCTTTAAGAATTGACAGTGTGTAAACAGTGTGCAACTGTCATTGTCTGTTAATGTAGATTAGATATTGGAAAGTTAACCTCTTCATCGTCAAATTCTTACCGAGAACAGACAACGATGACCTTAGCTTCCCTTTGACTGCAGTTTACTTCGTTCAATTTGACACGAATCGGACGATACGAAGATACATGGAGGTGATTATGAGAAACATTCGGAAAGAACAAGTGTTCGTTTGGTGGACGTTAATGTTAAACTAAAATCAAATGCACACATATGTGCCAGTATCCTCGAAGAGCTTAAAGTTAAAAAGTATGATTAGAATAATGTATCACTTCAGTTAATATGATTTGAGAAATCAAACATTTAGCAACTCAATTCTTTTGATGTTTTGCAACATTGGTTACAGAGCAAGGAACGTTATCCAAAACTTTCACGAACCTTTTCTACCGAAATCGAGCCTCCATTCGTACTCTGCAAAACGAAAACGCACAGAAAGCTGGAGCCCATACGCGCGCAGATTCCACGCGGAACAAAAGCGACACAAAGGTTCATTCCTCGATGTTTCCCCCAAGGTTCCCTTAAAAAAAGCTTTCTGTCTTCCTGCCCCGTTCGACGCGACCGAAAAAGGTTTTTCGTTTAAACGGGGGGCGTTCGAAGGGTCGCGGGAAGTTTTCAGCGCCGTCTTTCACGAGTTTACGAACTCACCGGAATCGGCCGCATCCGTTGTCGTTTAAGAGCGCGCGTGTCGGAATTGTCGCGATTCCGCGAAGAAACCGACGCGCTCCGTCGCGATGTGTCAGCGACGCGTGACTGTGTAAAGCCGCGGCGTTAACAGCGTCTCGTCGTTCGGGGTTTGCGCTGTTTTCGACGCAGTCTCTCGCATTTTCGGGCTGTAAAGCTTAACGGCTGTAAACTTCCAATAGGGACAATGTAGCTGTTCCTAAGGCCTCGATGATAGAAACGATCATCAGCCAAAACTGAAGAATACACGGAACCACGGCTTGTTTAAATAGACTTCCTGTACTCGTAAGGCGTATTGGGCTGGTTGCATGTAACGTCGGTTTTGTGTATTTGTAAATAAATCAGTTTTCTACCATTGTTTCATTGGATTTATCGTGTAATGCTCGTTGCTTCCTGTGATTTTATTTCGACGTTTTATAAGCTTCTCGAAGCTGTTTCTTTGAATAGCTGGGTAAGTCCTTTCGAGAAGCTATGTAACATTGTTTTTAATGGTGATCGATTTGTGAAGGGTTCAGCTACTAATTTAGTGAGTTATCACAGATGAGAGGTATGGCAATAAATGTATTTAAACGATAGTTAGAAATGTTAGGTTAAATTAACGGAAAGTGAGTATGAACCAGTAGATTAAGTCTCGATCTTACTAATTATATAATATTGAAATAAAAAGTACCCGAATATTAATTATCTGTTCAAAGTATCATTTCAACACGATGATTAACAGGAGTATCCTGCAGAATACCAACACAAACTAACTTGAATAACCCTTCCGTTCGACTGTAAGAAACGTTTCACGGAAACTAGTGTCTGCATTCCGAACTTTTTAATTTTCCTGATTTTTGTTCATTCATTACGATCTGCCCCTTCACCAGAATGTGCAAGCAGTCGTCTTTGGTCTCGTAAAAAAATTTCCCGTGGGAATAAGCGGGCCGCCGTTTCATCAAATGTAAAAGAACTGTTCAGATCGCGAAGAAAAAGTAATGGTTATCCCATCTGGGTTAGATGAATTTATTCGCGGCGATGTTTTTGAATGAGCCATTAGGAAATCGATTGTGAAACAGTTCGGCCGTGTTTCTTTTCCTTTCGATTCGCACCTCGGTCGACGGTACCAATCGCAGACAGCGCATTGCGCGACTCAGGTTATCGATCTGGCGCGGCTGTAAATCCATTCAAAAACGAACATTGGCGGACATTAATATAACTGTTAATTTCTGTTCATAACACATTGCCGCTAATATCGTGTCACAATAAATCGCCGGAACGTCGAATTTGAGTAAAGTCCTCGGGGATTTACGATTAATTACTGTCACGCCGCAATTCCGTTTAAATAGATTTCATATGCCATAATTCTTGAGTACAAATTCTTTTGCCGTACAAAAATCTATTCCAATACTTTCCATTCTTTACGTTATTACTCTAGACTACTTGTTCATTAAAACAAATAACAAACTCGGCACTTCGGAAACCAAAATTCTAACCAAACTATTCATTTCCAAAACAACTACCCTTAATCCTTAGCGGACGAAGATTCTTTGAAATATACAGAAACTTTAGCAGATGAAGCTAAATTATACATCAATTGCTTAAACAATAGAAAAAAAGGAAACTAGATATTGATATCTCGCTGTTTGAATAATTAAATCATTTGTTTGCGTCTTCCAAATACGAAAGCTTGATATCGCCGAAATATCGACATTCGTCCGCAAAGGGTTAAATTCTAACTCAAAGAAACTAAACATATCTTTACACATTCAACATACGAAATTCTACCACCGGAATAGCAAGACTTTCCCTCGAATACCAGCCGGTATCGTTCATAAATCCGAAGGATTCACGATCGGAGAGGCACGTCAACCGAAATCGCGATCTCACGTTCCGCCGGACAGGCGGATAAATAATGGGATCGGCGACTCGAGAAGCGGCAAAGTAGTAAATAATCCGACGGGTTCTATTATACACGACAGGGCGGCACGTGAAAGAGCGTAGCGTACGACAATGATATTCGAGCGGCGGGGACGTATGACATTCGGGGCCATCAAAACGGCACGAGGCCACCCGTTATGTAACGCGGGGCGGAGGGTGGAAAAAACATGGAAACCGCATATCGTCGCACCCGCTGGCACCCCCCGCCGCTGGAGGAAGAAGGGTGGTTCCTTCCTTCCGGCGTCGCAGTTTCGTTCGTCGGGATTCGTTCGCCCTGCGGTCCTAACAGCGTCTTTAATTAAATCACTCCGAGCCAGGAATAGTTTCGCTTTTTTTGTGCTCCCGGACTCATTTCTTTCTTCCCGTTTTTCCCTCCACGGCTCTTCTTTTCTTGCGAGCTGATCCGGACCGACGCGAGCGACCGGCCTCCGGACCACTCCGCCGCGCGGAAATTACGGTATTACGTTTGGCAAGCCGAGCTTGATCTTCCAGTAAATCATTCGCTCTTCGGCGTCACGAATGTTCGTTCGGTGGCGGTGATTTAGGTGCTCGCGCGGGGAGAACGTTCCTTATGGCACGAATTTTGGGGATCGCGCTATCGAGGGAAAGCGGCGAGAAACTGGACATGAGACGTTGGTATCTACCGGAAAATTCTGGCAGTGTTTCTTTACGCGAACCTTGAGTATGTGAGTTTCTTTGGCGATTGTTCCTCGTATCTTTCGTGGCACTTAGCTTTGGTCTCTTTGGAGTTGAAAGTATTTCGGATGTGTTTTACGCAATATTCACAATCTATTACTGATTGCAAGCGGCAACGTAGGTTAATGAAATATTGATACCTCAAATGCTAATGCGTCCCAGAGGAAAAATAAAGTTACTTATCTTTCCGACACCTTCTACTGCAATTTGAACCGCTGAGAAGTTTCACCAGGTGCATTCTTGCTAAACAAACCGCGCTAATGTTTCCCCAGATAATTTGAATCCCGGCCGACGGCGAAGGATCAATTCTTCGGAACGATCCTCGCCGGCGGTGCATAGTCCCCGCGACAAGCGGACGAATCAATCGAGGAAATCGTTGGAGCGCCAAACGAGGGAAAAAGAGGGAAGAGAGTCCGTCGCCGTCGGGCCACGAAGAGACATCACCGGCCGGGCTGCGGTTGTAACGGATACGGTGGAGACCTGGATGGCGCCGGAACGGTGTCGGTACTCACCTCGACAGTATCTTGGATACACAGCCGTGAGATACCCTGAGTTGTCTGGAAATGTCGCACGGTCGGACGCCACTGTGCGCTAGCTCGACGATCCTTTGCCTGACTACATCCGGTAGGGGCCTTCCGTTCACGAAGACGCCGCCGAGCTGGTTAACTCCACCGTGGCCTGGAAAATGGAAATCGATAGTGCATTAGCCGAGAGCGAACCTTTCTGCGATGAAGGCGACGGGGCAGGGGGATTGGCGGACTAGAGAGAGCGGGGACGAGGACCTCCGCAAACCGAGCGACGATCCTCCGCCGTGAAATCGTGATTCGGTCGCGTGGATCCTGGCCCTTATCGCTTGCGCCGAGCAACTTTTGCGAAACAACTTCGGACGATTAAGCATACGAGCTCTTCCGGAAATTTCTTGATACTTTTACCGTTCTTGTTCGTCCGCGGAATGACGCGCGATATCTCGCTTGCAGCTTGAATTTAATTCGCCCGACACTCTCGACATCCTTGCCATTCTAAATATGTACTTCGGTTATTTTCTTACATACGCTGGATATCGCGGAGCTGATTTTTAAGGATCTTCTGGGGACCTGTAGAAAGTTCGAAGTGAAATAGATGGCGAATAGATATGTTTGATTTTAGGTTCTATGAATTCGGTGACTATCTGTCTACAAGAATCTACCTAAATTTAGTAAGAGATAATTAACTCCAATGAAGTTACGTTATTAAGAAATCCCGGCTTATCGGTAGAGCGATGGCAGTCGTTCAGAACGATTTATAATTATTGAGGAAATGGTGAAAAGTCTTTTAGCCGATGGAAGATATGTTTCCGTTATCTTGATTCTTCTAACGCGGTGCACACGAAAACGAGAATCTACATGAAGATCCAAAGTCCACTAATTGCATTCGAGAAGCGCATTTGCTAATAATGGAAGCAACGTGTCCCACATCATTCGATTGCCACCCGCGGCGCAGGCATTATTGCCACATTTTCCCTGGTAAGACGTGCCGCTGCCGGCTTACAGCTTCATTTTCGCGCGTTAAAGCCGCCTAACTCGATAAGTTCGATCTAATATCGTAATGGAGGGTTCTGGACCACGACATATGCCTCCGTGTCCGTGCCAGTGCACCGATGATTCGACGATCGTCGTTGTCTCCAACCCCTGACAACAACGTGCCCGGTTCACGATTCATTCCCCTCCCGTCTGGTTCGTTTTGCTCAGTCAATCAACTTCTTCCGACTGGATCCCGCTAATGCAGATCAGACCGGCGAAGATGCTAGCGGACGAAACAGTCGCGATAACACCGTCGGAATGGTTCAGTAACGAGATGAAGTGTGACCGATCGAGTGGATATCCTCTTTGCGTCTGACGAGTGGCCAGCTATTCTACTAGAAAATTGAAATAACAGTACCATTCGGATGAGTCCGATTATTGCCGCGTTAAGCGAACATAAAACAAGCTTCTTACGGCAGATTTCGACTGTTAGGATCTGTAATGATCGATTGCCCATTCGTCACGAACTGTTCCCGGCTAGGTCTTATACCTTTCACCCGAGTGTTTTTGTTTCGGTTCCCTTCGGCTCGCAATAAACACGTTGATAATAGCAATAAACAGCCACCAGGGTGTGTAAAACTCACGGATAATATACGATATTGGACAACTACACGAGGAACAGCAGGTTTGGACACTTAATTCCAGGCGAAATTAACGGACAAAGAAGACATACGTTTGCTCTACCGAGAGAAACGCGCAGCTTCATTCGAACGTGTTATTAACAGCATAGGGATCTAGTATGATTCATAATACAGTTCAATATACCATACAATCACTAATACCCCGTAAAATTGAAGCAACGGAATGTTCGCGTTTAATTAACGGAAAAAATGTTCGATGCCGTATCCCGTGCAAATCACTATTCAAATAAATCAATCGCTTCGTCGACCTACATCCTCTAAATCGAATCTCTCCGCTCCGAGTGTTCTTCCAAGAAGCAAGAAGCTGGCCACGCAGTTTCAGCGAGCTCCATCGAGCGAACGTTTCTCATGGGCCGCCCTCGAACGCGCTTATCGAGACAATCGCGGCTAATTACCGCGATGATCCGGCCGTTCCGATCAGAAGTCTCATTGTCGATGGCGGGTTGCGCCGCGGCGCGTGAACGCCGATCCGCCCTCCTTTTTTTCCCTTCCTCCCGCGTATCGTATTGCGATCTACGTCGGTGCCGGGCAAGACAATGAGGGAGGCCGCGGTCATTACTAGAAACGATACGCGCTTTCCGGTCGCAAATCAATTCGCTCTCGCGTTTATGGTCGCATCCCTGTGGCGCGGGCCGGCAGTCAGGGGGATACTCGCTGGAATCATGGTGGCACCGCCGGGCCGCGGCAAAAGCACCATGACTACCCTGGCTTGCACACACGCCGTCACGCCCGCCTGACCACAACTATATGAGGGCCCTGGATCCAGGCTGGACCATCCCCGAATCCAAAGCTACCAGTGCTACGAATTGTCGTTGCCGTTGGCTCTGCAACCACCGCATCACCGAACCTTATTACTGTCCACCTCTGCTACCGTTTCAGGCCTACGCTGAATCTCGCATTCATTTTCAACCCGCCCCTAGCGATTTGGTTCTCCAACTGTGTTTGGAAAAGGTAGTTTGTCGGTAATTGGTTCTGACAAGTGAAAGAGGTTTTATGAACAGTTCAATGGAGATGAAGGGGATATTGTATTTCTCTTTGATTTATGGGAATTACTGATTCTATTTGTTTGGATCAATTCGAAATCTTTGTCATGGGTTTGTAAGCTGTTGTTACGACTAAGCACTTTCTTATCGCCTTGTTTATAAATTAGCTGACGGAAAGAAAGGCAACGAGAGACTATTATAAAATCTTTAGCCGTTAATGAATTTTAAGGCTGTTCACGCTGTAGAATCAAGTGTACATAATCGCATGTTTCACTTCAGAATCGATACCATTCTTTCCCACGACAGATTTTCCCACATCAATTCCCGTCGCTTTAGTTCGCGGACCATTTATAGAAGCGGAGAAAGGATCGAACAGTGTCTTAATTCGTCGCGATTTCAGCCCGGACAAAACACCGGTGCGAAATAAGGTGACCTGGCTGGGCGGTGGTCTGGCGCGAGCTCATTTCCGTGATATTACAGTTTTCATCGACGATCCGTTCGTGTATTCATTCGCTGACGCGAATGATCCGAAGTATACGTTGTATCGATGCGTCGCGTGTCTAGCTTCGAGCGGATGCTGCGCGGCGGGAAGTATCGAGTCGCATCGAAAATGGCGTGGAAAATTCGACGAGCGATGCTTCGCAATTAGAAATCGGTGATTTGTTAATCGCGCGGCGTTCGAGCGGAACGCCATGCCATGGCGAATGAATCCGACTGCGTTCCAGTTTTCCGCCGGAAGGGAACCCGTCTCCGCCCCCTCCGCGTAGGAGTACTGCCGCTTCGGTTTCAGATACGAAAAGGAAGGTCCCCGTGTTCACACACGGCGCGGTGCGGCGGCGAGCATCACCGGCCAAGAAGTTTGATATAGATTCCTCGAACAGTCACTCGATATTTCTCCTGCAGCTTTGTTCCTGTATTACATTACGGGCCTGGCGTTACGTATTGCTGGCACGCCGGGTTTTATTTCTCCGCTTGAAAAATAGACGGAAAAATGCGACCCTATCCCGCTTGTTTTGTGGAATTTGTTGCCTCGCGCTCGTCGTACGTCGCGAGGCTGGAAGTTACGCAGCCCGGCGGCGGAATTCTACGCGATTCGCGGGAATTTAGGGGCGGTTTTCTCGCTGTGAATTCGAGCTTCTTTATCTTTTTCGAGCAGGTTTTTTGCATTGTCTCGGTTGGCTGGAAACTGAAGGACTCGATGAATTCGAGCTTTTGTATCCGTGACCGAGGAAGGTTAATGTTCGTATACGTGATTCTTTTGGAATGAAGAAAGTAAAACTATGTAATTTATATGTATTTTAATTGCAAGATTCGTATTACTGTTTAGAACTTTGTTTTTTATAGAACGGGGCTCGTTGATAAGTTACTGCAATTGATTATTGTAAACAGTTTTGGAACGTATATTATTCTTTTTGGAACGTATTGAAAGTTTAAGTTAGTGTTCGTATGTTCAACGAAGATTTACGTGAATTCATGATAATGGTGAAGTATTTGGGAAGATATAAATGTCTGGTAACTCTTTTATAGGTGAACTTCAGTAAATAGATACATCAATTTTTAGTGAATACATATGTTTATAGAATAACTACACAGATGCCGGAACTTGAGTCCATTTAAATCCTTGAACGTTTCTCTTTCTAACCGCGATTCGAAACGTTCAATAATCATTCATAATTATTCATAATTCTTCTGACACTTTATCCTACTTTTGAAAAGTGTGTATAATCGTCTCGTGTTATTTTTAGCGTAAATGATACTTTATTAAAATAATTAACACTCTTTTTATTGTACAATAGCTTCAAGTTGCACATATCTTAAATCTCAGTTACTGGATTTTAATCCTATTAAACTTTTATGGGACGAGTTAGATAGTCAAGCAAAAACCATGAATCCTACGAGGAAAGAGGACACGCAAAAGAAACTGCAAAATGCACGCAGTGAAACATCAGCAAAAACGGTAATAAAATCAGTTCAACGAATGCAACGAATTTTTTCAGGCAACAATCGGATCATCGGGTGAGCATATTGATAAGTGTTATTTAAATGAAAATTAATATAATAAATTATTTTTTAACCAACCGTTATTATATATTCGCTCTAGTTCATAAACTTGCCACGCGAAAGATCTTATTTTTAAAGTGTAACATTTGTCCCGTTCAATGCTTTGAACGACTACATACACTCTCCTTCCACGGCACCTCTATGGAGTCGTCAGTAGTTACAGAATTAAACAAGAATTCTAATAAGATACCAGAAAATTTGCTTCCTTCATAAGAATATCTCAACAAACACGCACAACAAACCACTAAAGCCTCCCAAGACATACAAATCCCACAAGAAACCAGTAAAATAATTCTAATCGCTGAAATAAAACGCAAACAAACCATTGCAATAGAAACCAATCTCGAGACAACCTACTAAAGCCTCGCATTAAAAACCATCGTTCTTTACTTTACGTTCCTCCATCAACCGTGAATATCGGAAGCGACGCCGAACTTTCGGACGACAGTGTACGTTCAATAGCGCCAATTTTGTCGGCAATTCCGCGACTCCGGGGAAAGGGGATCGGACGCGCCGGTTACAAAACGATTCAACTACGCCGCGCCCGGTGACCGCGCCATTCTTGTTAATGTATCATAATTATTATCATCCCATTTATACGAGCGGGACCGCGACGGTGACCGTAAACGAGCGCGCGGGACGCGTGGCGGTTTCGATCGCAACTACTTCGGAACGACGGAGAGAGGCTCGGCTAATTAATACGGCCGGGCCCGCTAATTAGATGGAAAGCACCGGCGCAGTTCAGGAAGCACGACTTTTTTCCCTGCGATCCGCACTGCGGCTCGGTGTAACGCCGCGAAATCGGCGCGCGAACGTTCAATTTTACACTTTTCCGTTCCGAGCCGAACGGATCGGGTTTTTACGCCCCGTGTAATCGGATTAGGCTTACGCGGTCGATTTTTGCGGAACCTCCCCGACCAATTTACGCAACCCAGAACCGGCCGAGTGCCGTTTGCAACACGATCGCGCCTTAATTCGTCCATCGACCGAAATCTTTTTCTCTTCGCCGACGATTCCTAATCCGGTTCGAATTGGAAATTTCACTGCGACGGTGGACCGGTCGCCGGCTTTTTCGCTTTGGGGCCCGCCTCGGAAAAAGAAAGAGTAGGAGAAAACGAAAGTGCGGAGGATACCGCGACCGAGACACTTTTTTCGTTCCCGTTGTACGGGGAATTTTCGCTGAGCTAGGTTTCACTGAGAATTTAGGGGAAAGGATGAAGTGAGAGAGGGAGAGAGAGAGAGAGAGAGAAAGAGGTGGACGATTTCGCGAACGGTTCCTACGCGGATCGAGGCCTGCGACCATTGCGGTTTTAGTTTTTCTCCACGTCACGGTACCGCTACCGGATCGAACTGCGAATGAAGGTCGTCGCGTTTCTTGCCCGCGCGGGCTAGTTTGTCGGACAATGCAGATTTGTCCCCGGACGATCGACTTTCCTATCTATTCAATGCTCCGGTTGATTGGCAGAAAAGTGTGAGAGAAATCGATCTTCACGGCACGGAGCCTGCTCTCACGATCCGGGGGGAAATGAAGGAATTGTTTCGCTCCTCGTTCTTCGTCACACTAATCTCCATTATTCGATATCTTCATTATAAAAACGATCGTTCTAGTCAAAAAAATTCGATCGGACATGGCATCAATGTGCAAAACGAGCAGCCCGAGTTGCCCTGCTAGCCGCGGAACTGATCTGGAAATCGTTCACGGTGCGCGAAACAATGATCATTCATGACACTTTTGAACGCGAACTTTGATCAGGAATGATCACCTTTCGGGATTTTAAGTTTTAAGTGGAATTGAGTGTTTGATTTTGAAAGCTATCCGTGTGGTAACTGGAATTTATTTAAGCGTTTCTTATGGAATATGACAGATTGATTTAAAGGAGTTTATTTTGTATAAATAAGTTTGTTCCAAACGTAATTGTAGTTATATTCAAATCGATTTTATATTATCTTTTATTCTTCCTAACAAATATTTTATTACGAAGAACTAATTTCTAAAAGAGAAATATAATGGGCCTCACGGTGTATCAAAAATAAAGAATGAATTAATAACTCGATACTCGTTATCGAAATAGATAAAAGCAATAGAAGACCTCTAACCTCTAACAAACTTTCTAATGATAAGAAATAGGACTATTGTCCACTATAAACTCGCTAGAAGCAATTAAACTCTTAATCAGTTTTATATTTGCGTTGACAGTGAGACAATTAAATAAACAAATATGCAGTTGCTAAATATTTATTCCTTGTGCGCAAGAGAATCAACAAGACCCGTTGGCAAACATAAAAAGCTACCACAATAATTCCTAATGGATCTACAAGAACAATTGTCCATTTGTTTACAGATAACAGCCCATCGCATCCTAGTTATTAAATATACAATGTTTACGTGAACGTATAGATACGTTGCCAATAAAACGCTCAAATAAGAAAATGCAGATGCAAGATACTCATTCGTCGTTCACAGAATAGCCAACAAGATCACTCGGAAATGCAAAAATCTACGATAATAAATCGCATTAAATCTACCAGAAGAATCGTCGGTCAGCTTACAGGTGTAATATTCCATCATATTCTGATTGTATCGGTAGGCAGTGCTGAGGTCCATCGCGGCACCCCAGTTGCCGACGGCCGTCGGCTGTGGGAATCCAGGTGGTTCCTCCCGCCGCGCAGATTTATATATAATATCTGCGTCGCGGCTAAAAGGCTCTCGGTCCTATTGACCGCCGATGAAGACGCGTTTGCACGGTCCGTGAAGTGGTCCGCGTCTCTTTCTAAACGGGAGCGCGCTGGGCCAGTCTATGGCGACGGGGTACAATGACGGTCATCAGGAACGTCTTTGTGCCGGACGACGGGTGGCTTCGGGGAGCACCCGGTCGGCCGTCGCTTCATCTTCGTGAATCGGTGGTTGAATCCGGGGAACTTTATCTACGATTCACACCTAGGGTAACCTGGTCCCTCTCACGGCACACGCGGCATCACTCGAGAACACTTTCGCACGCTGTCCACGACAACGGGGTCAAGACGTCGAAGGATCCTTCGTGGTCCCTCATGCCTGTCACCAGCATCCGACAATTTTTCTAATCCCTTCAGTCGCACGAGACGAGTTACTCGCTTCGAAAGCTGACCATCCAAGCCGGTACAATCCTCGATCAGTCCGACGGATGATAAAAGATCATCAAGATAAATCGTCACCGTTCACTGTTTTCACTTCACTGTATCCAATAATCGGCCGCGTTTCACTGAACAACGCTGCGTCTTAAATCCACGGGGCCAAGGATCATCGGCGACTCCATTCATCCGAGATACCGTGTTCACGTGTGTCGCGCGAGATGTCCGGACACGGTTCGCCGGAAGGGACGATATCGGGATGGTCACGGTCGTGTTCGCTGACACGGCGCGTACGTACGCGCGCCGCTCATGGAAAAAAAGGGATGGCGGTGGCGGCGGCGGTAGCGGCGGGTCGGTCACGTCGGACTCTCGTTATCGTTATCAGCCGCGGTGACACGGTGGCTGGACCCCAAAAAGCGGCACGGCCGTGAGCGGGCAACAACGACGTGAAAG